AGAGGGGATTTATCAATGTGATTGTGAAGACTGAGTAGTCCCATGACTGGCTGTCTGTAAGCCGGATGCTGGTGGTGTGGCTCAGTTCTGAGGCCTTCAGAACCAGGGAAGCCAATGGTGCTGGTGGTGTAAGTCCTGGAACCCAAACCATAAAAAGTCTTGAATTCTGGTGTCCGTGAAGAGGAGAGCAGAGTGTATTCCAGCCCTAGTGGATAGAGAGAGACATTCACCTTTGCCTCCATTTTTGTTCTTCTCTGGGCCCCAGCGTATTGGATGGTTCCCACCTATGCTGAGGGCAGATCTTTCCTACCTAGTCCACTCAGGCCCACGTGCTAATCTCTTCTGAAAACACCCTCATGGACATACCCCAGAAGATTGCTTTACCAGGTTTCTAGGTATTCCTTAACGAATCAAGGTGACACCTGGGATTACAAGTCATAAAATAATGAGTAGCACATTAAATAATGAGTAGTAGTGATAAAGCTAACTACTGAAAAGAGGAGATGAAATTATCATTACATAGAGAGCATATGATTTCAAACATTGAAAACTTAGAAAGAAAATAATTCTCAAAATTAAGGAAATTTTTGTAAAATTCAGGTCAGACTGCTGATCACTCCTCAGAGACAGACTGTGCCTCCTTCGGTGTTGAGTGAATTTGCATGCTGCAGACCTTGGACAGACAGCACCTATGATTTCCATCATGTGGAGAGGGCTGCTCCATAGCAAGGGAGAAAAAAGTCAGCGTTTCGTGAGAGTAGGAGGTGGGTGATGGTAACCTTGATGGTTTCAAGTCTCAGGTTCTAAAAGGCCCTTAGTAAGGCCCAGCAGCCTCTAGGCTTTGCCTGCACCTTGGCTCTGCCATGAGACACTGCAGTGGTTTTTAAAGAAGAACAGGTATTATTTAAGCCAGTTCATTGTGAGGTTTCTTTCATTTCAATGAAAACCAGCTTAACTAATAAAATCATCTATTTTTTTCTTACTGAATCTATAAAGGGAAAACCTCTGACTTCTTCCCTGGTCCTTTTCTCTTTTTGCAGAGATAGTAATGTTTCGCAGGAAGGTCAATAAGGCTGTTCTTGTAACATTCTCTGAACAAACTGCAATCATTCATTGCTTAACAGAGGGGATAGTTTTGGAGAAGTGGGTTGATAGGCAATTTTGTTATTGTGTGAGCATTGTAGAGTGTACTTAACACAAGCCTAGATGGTATAGCCTATTGCTCCTAGGCTACAACCCTTTACAGCATGTTACCGTACTGCATACTAAAGGTAATTGTGACACAAAGGTAAGTATTTGTGTATCTAAATGTGTAAACATAGAAAAGGTACAGTATAAATATGGTCTAAAATTTAAAAAGTGGTGCACCTGTAGGGCACTTAGACATGGATGGGGCTTGCAGGACTGGAAGTTGCTCTGGGTGAGCCAGTGAGTGAGTGTGATGGCCTGGGACATCACTGGACACTACTGTAGACTTTATCAACACTGTACCCTTGGGCTACACTAAATTTATAAAAAAAGTTTTTCTTTGTTCAATAAGAAATGAACCTTCACTTATTGTAAATTTTTTATGTTGTAAACTTTTAAAACTTTTTGGCTGCTTTGCAATAATACTTAGCTAAAACATCTCCATGATGATCATATGAGAATACTGTCCTGTATGCTGTTCCTTCATGATCAAAATGTCCTTATGCTGCACTTGAGTGTAGTAGCCCAATGCCAGGTCACAATACCCACCTCCTCCACCTCACTTCATCTCATCACATAGGCTCTGTGCTGCCTGACATCCATCAAAAGAAGGGTGACACTAGAGTACAATAAGATATTTTGAGAGAGAAAGAGAGCACATTTACAAAACTTTTATCACAGTGTATAGTTATAATTCTATTTTATTATTAGTTATTGTTGTTAATCTCTTACTGTGTCTACTTTATAAATTAAACTTTATCATAAGTATGCACATACAGCAAAAACCAGTAATATAGGATATCATAGTATCCTCAGTTTCAGGCGTCCATTGGTAGTATTGGAATATGTTCTCCAAGGATAAAGAGGGACTATTGTAAAGGGCCTTGAGATTAAAATAGAAAAAGTTTGAGACCCGCTTCTGTACGTACTTGAGCCACGCAGAGGAAGACAGCATCAGGAAGTACACTTAAAGCTGTGTTCGCCCTTGTGGGAAGCTCGAGCTCCCCCCAAAATGAGAGGTTATTCAGAATGCAGTGTATCATCAGGGAAGTTCATATCCAGGGGTCCCCTCAGCTACAGGGCTTCATTGACCCTCCAAGCTCCTGGTTTGAAGATTGGGCCTTAGCTTTCCTCCATTATGACTTTCACTATTTCTTGTGTTTCCAATACAGGCACCCATAATTTATTGATTAAACAAGGACACTTTTGAGAGTAAAAAAATGGTATTATTAATAATTATGGCAGGGCAAAAGATTACCTGGATGCCATCTTTCTTATCCTGCCCAGTATGTACTCCCAAGAATGGAATGGTTGAGGAAAAGGACATAAAAACTGTCTTAAATCTTGTTCGCTCATTATTGTATCAGACATATTAACAACAATGATCACGTTAGCCAACATTTGATGCTAACAGTACATTTCTGTATTTGATCTCTAAAACACTTTGTTTTTTAAAGCTGAGCTCTGAATTCAGAGAATCTCATTCAGATGGAAGCAGGCTTGCTAGTTTAACTCAAAGAGTTACTATGAAATTTTTGAAATTCTGAATTTTGTTCTGTGAAATTTCCATTGTTCTTTAATGACATCATCGTGCAAGGAGGAGAAGGATTGATTATATTTAAACACCTTTAGGGCGGAGCCTATAACCCTGATGGGGTTGGAGGCTGAGTCCCAGGCACCGGATTGATTATATTTAAACACCTTTAGGGCGGAGCCTATAACCCTGATGGGGTTGGAGGCTGGATCCCAGGCACCATAAAAGGCCAGAGTATCTGAGCTCAAACTCACTTCGGAGAGGAGTCCAGGCCAGAAGAGGTGGAGGTGCAGGCATTGGGCCTTCCAGACCTCCTCTGAAAGTCTCCAAGTCAAGGTAAGTTGTCCCGTCTGTCTGAACTCTTTGCACTGTCCCATTTCTCTCTGTTAGCCTACAACTTGTTTTTCCAAGGCCTTTACATTTGGGTTTTAGAAAGAGCCGATCTTGTCCTGTGTTAGTGAGCTTTCTTCACCTTCCACTCTAACATCACCAGTTAAGATTTTATACAATAACTTTAGGTCACTTTTCATATGTCCAAATATTTTTATGCATTTTCAACTAGAATGCGTGTGCTGTTTCAAAATTGTTCCTTTTTAATTTCTATCATTATTTCTTAGAGACTTTTCTGGGTTTTCACTTAAACATACTTAACCACTTTAAATAATGGTGTTATGATTAGGTGAATAATTTCATTATTGCTACATACATAATCAGATTGTTTCTGATAATTTGGAATAATAGTTAACACTGAAAAGAACAACTTGCTACAACCATAGCATATTTTTCTTTTGTAAAATGGTTTTCTTAGATAGATTCCAGGGCAGGCTGGGCAAGCTTGTTTAGATGATGAGCATCATGTGAGATCTGCCTTAAAAAGTAGAGTTTTTTTCAAAAGGATAAGAGGGGATTTAAGGAAGAAGGTTGTCACTGTAGTCTCCAGCCAGGTCCCCGCAGGCTAGAATGACATTCAGTAGCTGGAAGGCTTCCAAAGACTCCAGGTTCCATGGGGAGGATAACCTGTCTGTTGTTGCTACACACATGTGTGTTTGCAGAGTCTAGCTGAGGTGGGGACACAGAGGCTCTTCATCAGTACATGCTGATGGAGGTGAGAGCTCATGTTTTGGGGTTTAGGACAGCTGTAGTGACCCCATTCATCAGGCTGGCCACAGCGAGTCTGTTGCTTTCTCCTCTGTCTGTCTCAGATTCTGTGACTTCAGCCACAACTAATGTGCGAGTTGTGCATTCTTAGTGAGATGTTCCACTGGTTAGTATTCCACATAGGCTCTTTTTGGAGAAGAGTCCTGGGTTCACACCATCTCAGGGTCTCTGTGTAGCATTAAGAGGCTGTCTTCGGTTCATGTGCCCATCCTGGTCCACAGCCAAGTCTAGCACGTCAGAGTTGGCTCAGCCAAGGGACAGCAGCTACTGCAGAAGGCCCAGAGCAAGGCTCTAGGGGTATAAAGGAGCTTACGCTTTGGGAGCAATTGGAAAAACTGGAGGGAATCTTCCTTGTCAGGAACATATTTTTGGTTTTTGTTCAGGCATGAATATCTTAGAAAGGCTGAAGACAATGATGATAATATATTTTTATTCACATTCAGTCAAGCCTTAGTTTTCTAAGAATGATTTAAAACATTTTATGTAATGATACATTGTCCTTAAAATTGATTATGTCATGAACATGTCATTCATTTTGCAGTAGATTTTGGAAGTTTTACTCATATGTGGTAATTTTTTGTGAAATTCTGAGGGTTTCAGAGTCGCTTTTCTTGACTACATTAGAGCTGGTTTTATGGATTTAGACTTGAAAATTCTTTTTCTTGAACTGCAGGTGACCTACAAATGAATACTGATTGGGGCAGAGACTGCACTTCTAGATACTGTTAAAGACCCAGTTGTGCTCAGCTCCCACAAGGAGAAACTTTGGCTTTGGTCAGAGCAGACAACATCACCTGGAAGTCTCCAGGTAAGCAGCTCCTTCTAAAAGGACAATTTTCACTGTCATAATTCTCTCTATGGATCACTTTGGATTTTGGATACTTTTTATACTTTTTGATAGCTTTCTCTCAGATGATTACATTACTATGATTCTCTTATGACTTAATGTCAGTGTCATACACAAACTACAGAAATATTTATACTGTTTAATTTTTGTTTTGGATTTAGACACATTCTGGATATTGAAGAGCAGATAGTGTACTAAGGGCTCACGATCACTTCCAGACCTCAAAGGGCCAGTTCAGCTGGGTTCACTGTTAAAGCGTGACCTTGAAGGACCATGGCCAGATGTCTGCAAGCAGAGGCGACCTGTCCAGTGTGCCTAGACTTTTTCTCCTATCCTGTTTCTATCTCCTGTGGGCACACATTCTGCTCTTGTTGCATTAAAAAGTGGATGCGAGAAAGAAAGAATTTGAGAATGATCTGCCCCATGTGTCGAGAAGAACTTGAGGATTCTCACTTTGATGAATTTCATCTTAGAAACCTGAAGCTCCTCATCCAGCAGCACTTCCCCTTACTGGAGCAGAGTCTGCACGTGAGCCAGAAGCTCCTGAGGTTCCGGGAGGATGTGACCCTGGATGCAGCCACGGCCAACTCCCTGCTGGTCCTCTCTGATGACCTGAGGAGTGTCCGGTGTGGGAAGGTCTGCCACAGCCCCCTGGATGATCCCAGGAGATTCACCCACCTGGCCTGTGTACTGGGCACCCCCAGCTTCTCCGCTGGCTGCCATTACTGGGAGGTGGAAGTTGGGGAAGGCAAGGAGTGGGCTCTGGGTGTCTGCAGGGAGTCGGTTGACAGAGAGACAAAGAGCAATTTATCCCCTGAGCAGGGCTTCTGGCTGATCAGCATGAGGGCAGGAGCAATCCATGCCAACTCCATCCCAGAACAAAGAATTCCTGCAAGCTCTGGCCTTCGCCGTGTAGCAGTTTTCCTGGATGTCGAGTTGGAAGAAATCAAGTTTTTTGATGTTGGAAATGATGCCCTCATTTGTATACATAGTTCTCTCTCCGTTGTGGAGCCTTTGCGTCCATTCTTCTGTCCTGAGCTGCCTGGAGAGGGTGACTTTGGTGCCCCCCTGAGCATCTGCCCATGAGAAATGCAGCCCTTTCTAGGAGCTTTCTGCGAGGTGCATGAGACCTTTGACCTGAGAAAGGTCAGAACAACGGAGGAAGAGACAATGTGCTATAGAGCAAAGATTTGGTAGACTTGGGGAAGACCAATTTAATACATTCTTTTGGGGGGGAAAGTTGGTAGACTTCATAGCTAGATGACTTGTAGATTTTAATAGGTTTTTTAGACTGTAGTTAAATTACTATGGGGTCTTCAGGATGCTATTAAGTACCTAAACCTAAATGGTGATGATTGTGTCAGCCAATAGCTGTGATGATTAGAGACAATACAGAACTTTTGTTTTGTAGTAAATAAGAAATAGAGAATATAAGATTATTAAATATTAGCTATCTAGATATTAGCTTTTTGGATAAAACAATCTCTTTCATTTTTTCATACCCCTTTCTATATAATTCCTTATACTGATAGTTGTCTGAGGAGAAAGAAGATCTAACAGAGCTGGTGAGAGATGTTTTGATATGACAGGAAATTTCATAGAGAGCGAGAGTCATAGATACTGTGAAAGAACTACTCTCCCCATGTAATTTTATCCCAAACTCAGGTGCGTAAAATTTCTTTAAAAAGAAAGAACTTTGACTAAGACATATTGTTAATGGCAATTCATATTTCTTCTAGTGGGGATTGTCCTTTTTACATTTCAATTATTGGCCTGTCCTGTGGTTATCAGAATGATATGGTATACATGAAGTCAAAAAGGTGCTAATTTACTCAATCAGAGTGACAAGTTTATTAAATGGCCAAAATTCTCACCTTCTGGGTGAGTCAATTACATAGAGGGAAATGACTTGTTCTGAAGACTAGATTCTGAAACTTTGGCCCAGCAGATGGAGTTTCACTTGCAAAGCCCCTCCACCTTCTGACTGAGAGATTAAGAACATCTTCTAGCAAGTCCAAGTCTAAGGCAACTGCTGCTGATTTTTGATTTAAGTATTTTTATTATCAATCATGTTAATTCGTTAACATACATTCACCAGAAATGATTTTCAAGATTGTATTTGGATTCGTTAATTTTTATTCTTAGAATTTGCATTTTCTCTATTAAACCTGTCAAACATCTGATGTTTTCGTGGTTATGGAATACTTGGTGCACCTCTCAGGTCCAGTCTGAAGTTGGTGCTTTTCCCCCACCACATCCACACTGTTCTAGACTGCGATTTCCCACACCCAGTCTTATACTCCCACAACAGCTCCTTTTCAACCTATTAAGGTCCCTATGGGTTGCATTTTTTTGTGATTTACTGAGTCAGCCGCTTCTGAGGTGATATCTCTTTCAAAAAGACTGGATGGAGCATGTTCTGGAATCTGCCTTTGACTTCCTTATCAGAGATCCAGCCCTGTAATCTCCATTCTCTTTCAAATCCATTGGGGTAGCAAGATCGCCTGCATTTTTTTTTTTTTTTATTTCTTATTCTCTTTGATCCCTATGAGTTTATTTCAGGGGCTTTCTTGCTCTTCCCTAAGACTGCAATTGAATGGGGCCCACACTGATCCAACTCTACAGGTTTTTCCTAAGTTCTTTGAAAAATAGAGAATGGCTATGAAGTTTTCTGTTCACCTTTTTAGTGTTTATTATTTGGTTTTTCTTGTGGATTGAAGAAAAAAGACGTTCAGTTAATCGTCATAAGCCAGTAAATCCCCTCCTCGCCTTCTGCCTCAAGTCCCCTTTCTCCATAATCCTGCTTCCTCCACACCCCTCCCCCCACACCACCCTCCTCAGACCCTCAGTTCTCTTCCTGCCACTGTTCCCTTTATCTCAGTTATAGCCCCTTCTACCGACCCACACCCCTTCAGCCAACACGAAGTATCTTCATCAAAGCACTCTGCCTCCATTTATGATTAAAGGAAAAAATTTAAAAATTGTAAACCTTTAAAATAGTGCATCATACAAAGTGGGGAGGGGTGTTATTTAAAACCACAACTGACTGAAGAAGCTTCTCTTTCCCACAAAGGTTGAGACAAAGAGACCTAATTTGTTGTACCAAAAAAAAAAAAAAAAGAAAAGAATTTTCTTAGTCCATTCTGAGGGCCTTAGAACCAACTAAGCCAATGGTGTGAACCTCAGTCTAAGGGCAAAGGTGGGAGAAAATGGGGGGGCCGCTGGGGCAAGTCCCAGTGTACAAAGACCAGAGTATGTGGAATTTTGACATGCAAGGGTAGGAGAAGGGTGTCCCAGCTCCAGGACAGAGAGTGAATTCACCTTTCCTCTGCCTTTCAGTTTTATCTGGGCCCCAAGCAGATTGGGTGGTGCCCACCCATATTGAGGGCAGATCACAGCATTATTTGTGGTAGCAAAGAATCAGGAAATAATTAGGCTAAATATAGACAACTGCAGTCACAAGGAATGAACAAAGTAGACATTTAGCCACATGCACAGGTCTCTAACACATAATTTTTGTACTCTAATATTATTTATGTTAATTAAACACATACAAACAGCAATATTCATATTTTAAGGACCCTTTCATACACACATATATAAATAAAAATATTGAAGTTGGGTTGAAGCTACAAATTTTAACTACTTTAGTTTGAGAGCCTATGGAGGTGGAAAGAAACTTGATTGCGTGGGATGAAGGGGATAAAAATCAATAAAATAAAAGAAGAAACAAATGAAGATAACGTGTCATGAACTGATTGCGTGATCAATCCCATTCCGTTCATCTGATATCCTTACAATAAACCAACTTAGAAAACCTCCAGCTTCTCTTGAGAAACAGGAATATTTGACAACATAAGATCTGGTGTGGTGGGAGCCAGGGGTTGGGGCAGATGTGGCCCCTGCCCCACAGCTCGCCTCTCCCTGCTGTCTTTACCAGTCAGTGAAAGACATTTTTATTGCTCGCTGGTCTCTGCAAGAATTTGTATTAAGTCCTTTGCTCTACAGAGGCCTTAGAACTTTATTCCCGATGGGAGTTTCAGAAGCAGGAGACCTCGTGGGCATGGACCAGGTTTTGTAAGCCTCACAGGGTGTGTTAGTTTATCTTAAAAGCTGTCTCAGAGCTGTTGAGTTGCCTGGGCTGAGAATTCCAAAGACAAAGTAGCTCAGAAGATTTTACAGGCTCTGAAGTCAATGTCATCCTAGGTAGGATTCCCTTGGAAGATACAGATAGACTAAGAAAAATAATTTTCGGTGAAGTTTATAAAGAAACTCTTGTAAGAGTGTACTATCTTCTCCTGTGATTAATACTTCAGTTAAGAGACCTAAGAAGAGCACAGCTGAGGTGACCCACTTTTCGCCTCTGACTTTTCTGCTGTTTGGGAATGGTCAGACTTTCAGTCTGCTGGTTAAAGTTTTCAATTTGTCCCACTAAAAATGTGCCAATAAGTTCTGACTCCTATAGACTCTTGTCAGAAAGCAGCAGCTTTCCAAGCATGACCTTGCTTGATTAAAATGCTAAGGATGTTGTATTTTAGAATAAATAATAACAATACCACCTTCAAAAATTAAGACCTTTCGGTATGAAGTAACAGAAATAAACTCAAATCGCTTAAATAAAAGAGAGACATTCTTTATTTTTTAAAAAGGGTTTGTTTGTAACCTATGGTTGCAATACATTCAACTGCAGTTATGCGTCACTTAGCAGTGGGGACATGTTCTAACAATGCGTCGTTCGGCAATTTCATTGTTGTGCGATCATCATAGAGTGTACTTACACAAAACTAGATGGTGTAGCCTACTACGCCCCTAGGCTGCATTATATAGCCTATTGCTCCTGGGCTGCAAACCTGTACAGCATGTTACTGTACTGGGTAGTATAGGCAATTGTACCACAACAGTATTTGTGTATCTAAACATATCTACACATAGAAAAGGTATAATAAAAATACAGTATAAAAGATAAAAAGTGGTACACCTGTACAGGGCACGCACCATGAATGGAGCTTGCAGGACTGGAAGTTGCTCTGGGTGAGTGAGTGAGTGGTGAGTGAGTGTGAAGCCAGCACCTTACTGTGCACGGCTGCAGACTTTATAAACACTGTACACTTGGACTACACTAAATTTACAAAAAATACTTTTCTTTCTTCAATAATAAATTAACCTTCGCTTACTTAGTAACTTTTTTACTTTCTAAATTTTAAATAAATAAATATTTATTTATTTTTAAATTTTTATTGAATCAAAATTGATTATACAAATTTTGGGGGTTTCAACATTGAGATATGTTGATCAAATCAATATTACTAGCATATATATTGTTACAAATTGTAATTATTATTTATGTCCCTTGTCCAATCTCTCCCCATCCCCCTTTCCCTCCCCTTGCCACCCTCTAATCACCCTAGATTTCTTCTTACCTTCTGAAAGAATAATGGTTACCCTGTTCATTTGCTGCCCAAAAGATCTGTCCAATGCTGAGAGGTGTGATCAGGTCCCCCAATACTATCATAGAGCAGATGCCTCTCCCCTCAATAAAATGAAATTTTTAAAAACTTTTTGATTCTTTTATAACAACACTTAGCTTAAAACACACATTGTACAGCTATACAAAAATATTTTCTTTCTTATACTCTTATTCTGCAAACTGTTTTCTATTTTTAAGATTTCTTATTTAATTTTTTTACTTTTTAAACTTTTCTGTTAAAAACTGAGACACGAACACATACACGAGCCCAGGGCTGCACAGGGTTGGGATCATCAGTCTCACTGTCTTCCACCTCCACATCCTGTCCTGCTGGAAGGTCTTCAGGGGCAATCATGGCGTGGAGCTGCCATCTCCTGTGATAACAGTGCCTTCTTCTGCAATGCCTCCTGAAGGGCCTGCCTGAGGCTGTTCTACGGTTCACTCTTTTTTTAATAAGTAGAAGGAATTCACTCTAAAAGAATAATAAAAAGTATACTACAGTAAATACATAAGGCAGCAACAGTTATTTATTATCATTATCGGGTGTTATGTACGTACACACTTGTATGTGCTATAGATTTATACGACTGGCAGCGTAGTAGGTTTATTTACACCAGTA